CACTCTCAACAACCTTCGCCACAAAGCGAAGGTTGGAGACTGGACGATAGTTGGCCAATACATCTGGGTTCAGGGAAGGCTTCTTAAGGAGGGGCCTCACCACCGCCTCTTTAAGGGCCGTGGGAAAGGCACCCTCCCCCAAAGAAGCGTTAACGATTCCCTGAAGCCAGGCTCGTGTACCCTCCCGAGCCGCCAGTACTCTACTGCATTTTTGTTATTTTTACTTCATCTGGGCTCAGGTTTCTTAAGATGGAAGTCAGAATTCATAAGCATAATGGCTGCAATTACAGGTAGTCCTTGCTTACCAACTGCCTCATTCAGTGACTGTTCAAAGTTATAATGTAGAAAAAATAATTTTATGACCAGTGCCCACATTTATGACTTTTGCAGTGTTCCTCAATCATGCAGTCACCATTATGGTCAGTACACATTGTCCTGTGCCTGACCTCTTATTTTTCTTTTATTCCCCCCTTGTAGAGTGGGGAGAGATTAGAGAGGAAGGGATTACAAAGGAGTAAGCAGGCACACAATGGGAAATACATATCAAAAGGAACGTGGTGGTGCCAGCTCAGGGCTGGGATCTATGAGTGCGCTACACAAACAGCCCAGTGTATTCCCCATTGGGTTCCTGCCCACTCTCTTGTAATCCTTTCCTTTCCAGTCTCTCCACTCTGCGAGGGGGGAAATGTGTCGGGCACAGGACAGATTGCCTACTAAAATTGCTTGGGTTTTTTTGTCCCCCACCTTGCAAAGTGGAGAGATTGGAGAAGAAGGAATTACAAGAAAGTAGGCACACAATGGGGAATAATACACCAGGCTGTTTGCATAACATTATCATGGCTCCCAGCCCTGTCACCACTGCATTCCTTTCAACGTGTATTCCCCATTGTGTGCCTGTTTTCTTCTAATCCAGGGGTGTCAAACTCACAACGTCACGTGACGTGATGCAACGTATTGTGACTTTTTTTCCATTGCCAGCAATGGGTTGGGCGCGGTTTCGGCATGACGCATCCGGCCCACGGGCCAGCAGTTTGACACCCCTGTTCTAATCCATTCCTCTCCAATGGATGTAAATACAAACATTAATTCCATTCTTGCTAATTATCCCAGCACCGGAATGAGCCTTTCAAAGGGCAGGGGAGTGGTTAGGAGGCAAACAAAAGCCCAGGGTATAAAACTGATTAGTCCTTGTCAGTTTCAAGCCAGAAGGGAATGGGGAATGGAAAGGAAAGCAGTCCCTATCACCCGATTTCCCACTTAGCAAACATTTCACTTAACAACTGAGCTGCCAGTCCCAATTGCGGTCACTAAACAAGGTCCTATACTCTCACTGTACAGACTCTGGGTATATCCAAGTTTAATTGGACTCAATATGAAGTCTTCTCTTAGTATTTTCTTGCTGGCTCCTTCCTTTGCAGGAAGAGACTGTAGCTGAGCTCCGAACTGTGGAGAGTGAGGCAGCTTCATACTTGGACCAGATCTCTAGGTGGGTACCTTCTTGCAGAGCTTTTCCAGTTTTTTCCTCATAGGAGTAACTCTTTTGAGTATAGGTTGTCTTGTGTCCCTACACCATCCACTTAAGCACTTCACCCTTTTATTTCAGATACTACATCACACGAGCAAAGCTGGTTTCTAAAATAGCAAAATATCCTCATGTGGTAAGTGTTAAGTGGAGGACCATTAGGTAGATTAGAAATAGTTGAAAAATTTCTGGAGCATGTTCTCCTTGGAATTAATACTATGTAGTCCAGGGGTCTTCAGACTTGGCCCTTTTATGACTTGTGGACTTCAACTCCCATAATTCCTCAGCCAGTGTGCCTGGCTGAGGAATTCTGGGAGTTGAAGTCCACAAGTCATAAAAGGGCCAGGTTTGAAGACCCCTGATGTAGTCTGTGAATCAAATGCTTAGAGCTATATTAAATTAAGATGGGCGGTCCCTAGAAACTCTCATAATTGTATTGCTGAATATTTGGTTACATTTTCTGGAGATTTAGGACCAAAATATGAGTAAAATATTATTTTAAAGCATGGTGATTAGCCTTCTTAACTTTAACACACACACACTTTCCCAATTGGAAAAAGTTGCCTGACCCTGCCCAAAGCACACTTCCTTGCTTCAGATTCCCTTTCTGGAGGTTTTACATAGAACTAGTCTTCCAACCAGATTTTAATTAATAACATTTTAGAAATGGTTGGCGTTCAGTTTTTGAAAACCGTGAGACGATGACAGATTTTGTATGATTAAAACAGAGATGGAATGAGACTCCTTAGCTACAAGTTGTCTTAGTGCAGAGGTAGGGAATCTGTACCGCAACTTCCAGTAGCATCAATAATGAAGAATGTTAAAAGTTCCTCACTCCTGCCTTATTGTATGATAGGGACTAAAAGCTTCTGGTTAAATAATTGTAGGAGGATTACCGCCGCACAGTGACTGAAATGGATGAAAAGGAATACATCAGTCTCCGGCTCATCATTTCAGAGCTCAGAAATCAATACGTAAGTCAATATATTGTTTCTTCCCAGGTTGGAAGATAATATCCCTTCTCCTGATTAAGTAAGAATTTTCTATAGCAGAAGTACAGTAGGTATGGACTTTTGGCCTCCATGTGTTACTGAATTCAACTCGCCAAGTGAGGACTATTAAAAGTTGCAAATAAGTAGTATGTAGAGTACTGTGGTTTTGTACCATTGTTTTAGATTATTTATTTAGACTGATCGTTTGTCCAGCAGAAGCAATTATCAAGTCTTAACTTGTTGCTGAAAGAAATGTGGTGGTATCTCCTTTCTAAGGAATAATAATACTTATATAGACAAACTAGCGAGTAACAAATTGCATAGGTACTGGGAGACTTGAGAAAGGGATTGAAATGATTAGCAGAGAGGAGAAATATTTCTGTTTTTAGTCTGTAATGCGACTGTATATTTCATGGTTGCTGTCCATGAGAGAATAATGGTTAATGTTGCCAAAACCATTGAAATCTCAGGAGATACAGTAAAATATATGCTGGTTAACAGATAAAACAAACCTTTGGATGTCTCGCTTTTAACATATCTTTAACATATCAGAAGACAGGCTTAAAATACAGAAGGATCTTGACAGACTTGAACATTGGGCGCTATATAACAAAATGAAATTCACTTAAATATGAGCCAGCAGTGTGCTGCAGCTGCCAAAAAAGCCAACACAGTGCTAGGCTGCATTAACAGAGGGATAGAATTAAGATCATGTGAAGTGTTAATACCACTTTATAATGCCTTGGTAAGGCCACACTTGGAATACTGCATCCAGATTTCGTCACCACAATGTAAAAAAGTTGTTGAGACTCTAGAAAGAGTACAGAGAAGAACAACAAAGATGATCAGGGGACTGGAGGCTAAAACATATAAAGAACGGTTGCTGGAATTGGGTATGTCTAGTTTAATGAAGAGAAAGACTAGGGGTGACATGATAGCAGTGTTCCAATATCTCAGGGGTTGCCACAAAGAAGAGGGAGTCAACCTATTCTCCAAAGCACCTGAAGGCAGGACAAGAAGCAATGGATGGAAACTAATCAAAGAGAGAAGCAACCTAGAACTAAGGAGAAATTTCCTGACAGTTAGAACAATTAATCAGTGAAACAACCTGCCTCCAGAATTGTGAATGCTCCAACACTGGAAGTTTTTAAGAAGAGACTGGACAACCATTTGTCTGAAATGGTATAGGGTTTCCCAGTGCTTTTTTTCTAAAAAAAAAAAAAAAAAAAAAGGTACCGGAACTCACACCCGTCATACAACCCACCTTGCCTACCCTACAAGGTTCCATCCAAAAAAGGTGCCGGAACTCTGTTCTGGGCGTTCTATGAGAAAAAAAGCCCTGGGGTTTCCTGCCTGAACAGGAGGTTGGATTAGAAGACCTCCAAGGTCCCTTCCAACTTTATTATTATTATTATTATTATTATTATTATTATTATTATTATTATTATTATTATTATTATTATTATTATTATTATTATTATTATTATTATTATTATTATTATTATTATTATTATTATTATTATACAGACAAATGAGTAACATCTACTGTATGTCTCTGTTTTGTGCAGATATGGTTAGAGAAACACACAAATGGATCTTTATGCACAGAGTTTCCATATAATTGTGCAGACTTCTTGATTTTGGAACAGTCCCACTGATCACCCTCTGATAACGTGAAGCTGTCCAATCTGTTTGGTCTGCAAATGCCAGACAAGAGTTTAAGTGTTGCTGATTTAAATTCTATTCATGCCTCGCATTGATCAGTCTGAATAGCTTCTTTGAAGGGTGTAATTAAAAATAAGGATAGAGTAATTGATACTTTTTGGCCTACTGCCTTGGTTAATAATTACATCACCTATTTTACACAGATCCTGTGCTTTTTTGGGGGGACATGAAAAAGGAAAATATTACACTCTATCCACATATTATAATATGTAGAACTTATAAACTGGGCTCACATAACATTCTAATCCTAATTCACCAAAGAGTATACCATGTGACCCCAGGCAACTGTGGATTCTTCCACAAACCATATTTAAACAAAGTGCCATAGTACAGTCTGCGAACCAGGACACAATAATAAAAATGCAATCAACTGTGTTACTTCTACAGATTTCTTTTTAGTATTTCCATAATTTATTTGGACATTTTACATGTTTTTATGCTATACTGAGAAAAACATAAGTTAAAATTGCTTCCGTTCTAAAATGAATTAAATGTGAAAAGTCTCTTGCAGTAAGCTAATTGAGGGCAATATGATAAGAATTAATTCTGCTGGGAAGTCTTGGACATGTGCTCACTTTCTTTTGTGAAATCCTTAATAATTGAGTACAACATAGGAAGAAAGCTTTCTAACAGAAATGTTTTTCTCACTGAAAGAAAGGTTGAAGTTATTGTCAAGAAGTTAAAGATGTCATATACAGAATGCAAGTAATGGAAATGGGACAACTCGCCACAGCCAACTTGCCGTGGGACAACTCAACAAATGCAAAAGTTTAATTTTGATGGAACCATGGCCAGTAATAATAAAGTCAATCCAGAAATACAAGAGTTACAATAATTTTGACGAAAACGTGGTTACCAATAATAAAAGTACCTGAATGAAATGATTAATACAGCGTTGAATTGTCCTGTGGCGAGTTATCCTGTGGCAAGTTGGCTGCAGCGAGTTGTCCCGTGTGAGTTGACCGTGGTGAGTTGTCCTAGACCCTGCAAGTAAACCTAAATACTAACACTAGTTTTAGTGAATTCATCAAGAACGTGAAACTAAGCACATGTTTCTGAGTTAAGACTGCCATTGAAATATCTATCTGCTCATTGTTATTAATGTTATTAATGCTTTTATTTATTTATGTAAATTTACTGGCCACCCAACTCCAGTGGACTCTGGGTGATGCACAAAGCTAAAAAAGACATAAAAATAACTAAACATATTAAATCAACAGGCATCCCACACTAAAATGTTCTCATAACAAAATCCACAAAACAAAACAGGGACCATTAAACAAATAACAAACATCAACCCCAGGCCTAGGACCAAAGTCAAGTTTTCAAACCTTTCCAGAACCCTAGGAGAGAGGGCACCATCCTTATGTCTGGGGGTTGCTGTTTTGGCATGTGTGTGTGTCTGTGTGTGTGTGTGTGTGGTGCAACAGAGAACGTACACTTCCTAGGTCCCACAGAAGGGCAACATTTAATGGAGGGGACCTAGAGCATACCCACTCTACTGGAACTTGATGGGCAGGAACACCAAGAGGCACTTTGAGAAATTCTGGTTTCTTTCTCAGCCTTAGAGATCTTTTTTATAATCTCTTCATGTGGCACAGCTACAACCAGGAGTTTGGAAGCTTTCACTTACATTGTGGGCGAGTGACAATTTGTTGGTCATTAACACTGGCCAATAACAGCTAATATTTTTCTTACAGTATGAAAAAAACATTTAATCATAGGCCATGCAGCTAATTTGTACCGTTTGGGCACTTTTGGTAAATATAATAGAAGTGGCAATTTATCATTTCAAGAACACCGGTATTCAAGACTCATGTCAACACTTCAAATGCAAGCCAATTTGAACTACTGTTATGGTTCTCAATCTCTCAGCTGCTGTAGGTTTGTTAATTTTGTGAAAATAATCCTCTGTTTAGTTGATAGTATCTTAGAGTCCTTTGTGGGGAACCCATGACTCCATGACATCGGTTTAATTTTAACTTGGTAGTTTCCAAACTAACCTTGCATTTTTTAAGCTCTTATTCTATTCAAAAACGGTTAAAATACAAAACTCCAACAAATTTAAAAACAAAAAAACCACAAAGCAAACATGACATTGAAAAAAAGGTGCATAAAAAAAAGAAAAAAAACCACACATATACATATATTGTCCCCCCAGTTGAATACTGATTAATACATTACTACAATATTGGTTTTCCAACCTTTGCAAAACAGGCCCAGAAAAAATAGTGATAGAAAAGACAAGGTTAAACCCTCTGTTAACAAACTGTTATTGTAGCCAACTCATAGAAAATTTACCATGGCATCTTGTCCCAAATCATCTAAAAAGTTAAGAGTAATTCATCCTGGATCCAATATCCACATTTGTTTCTTAATACCATCTCTTTATCAGTTGTTGTCTAATTAAGTATAATAAATTCAGTCTCCATAGTTGGTCTATCTTCCCAACAAAGTCCAGATGAAAGTCGTTTCTGATGAAATGTGACAAATCCATTCCCCAATCTCCTTCAGTCCTCCCAGGAAAAACCAATTTGTCACTTCTCTCTTCAGGCAAATGTCTGCTATTGTAAAAGAATGCAGGCTTATACTTCAGAGAGGCGTATGCCGGCTCAGTTGTTTCTGTGTCTGTATAGTCGATATCTCCAACAGGTCTGCAGGTTTCAGATTACATTCCTTTTGTAAATCTAATTTATCGAGAGCTACATGCATCTGAGTATTTTCAACAAGCATTATCATTTCATCAAACTTTTAAAAAAAACTTTCAACTAAAAATTGCATATTGCCAAAAAGTCTTTTTTTGGGATATCAGCCACCCTTGTTTGTAATCTTATTCATTGTTGCTCTATGTAACTTAGTCAGGAAATGCAGCCAAGAATGCTGAAGCAGAAAAAAACAGGAAAGATATTTTCTGGCTATTTTGATCCAAGATTAAAAAATAAATAAAATTTTGCAAATTAAAACATGTATAAACCCTGTGGTGAGAGTCCAATATTGATGTAAATCAAATGAAAGGACTTTCACCATCTAAAGATGTGCCATGTTTCCTTACGAGAAAATGAAAGTTATTCAAAACAGCAACATAAAGGGGGGGGGGGGGACAGTCCAGCAGCGGATTAAAATAAAGCAGCATTCAGCCAGCTGGTCAACATTTGAAGATGAACAAGTGAAACAGAAAATTCAAAAAGTGAAGCTAAAGCCCAGGCGTGCTTAAAAAAACAAACTGCTTTAAAAAAAGATGGATGCCCTTGACTTTCCAACTGCTCCCAAAGGGAACTGAAATTTTCAAGACTCCCCTTCCCAGTTGGATCCATGGCCATCCAAAAGCTGTCTTGGGTCATTCCTAAGTGCTTCCATTCAAATCCAGGAAGCAGCCCTGCCAGAGAACCAGCTTTGGCAGCAAAATTAGCAGATTGTCGGCAAGAGAGAAAAAGCCTCTTACCATTCAGCAGCCATCTTGGGGAGGAGTCCCTAACCTTGCATTTCTTGAAGTGTAGAATGTTGTTGGGCAATAATCTGTCTTTCCCTGGAGAGAAATATGATATTCATGGCCAGCCAAATATATCCTGCCAGAGTCAGAAAAAAAAAACTAACAACCAGGTTCTCTCCTTCCAGGTGACTCTGCATGACATGATTCTAAAGAATATTGAGAAGATCAAGCGACCCCGGAGCAGCAATGCAGAGACCCTCTACTGATCTGGCTACATTCTGAACTTATGAACTCTTCAGTAGGCTCAAGACAGTCTTTGCCTCAGTTTATGTGACTATCAGGATGTAAACGCTGGCTGGAAACAGTCCCCACCATACTTTTAGTTAAACATCTAAAGAAACTCTCCTAGTCCTTTTCTGGTTGGTTTTTTGTTGGGTCTTTGAATTTCCCCTTTTCCTTACCATGTCTTTGAGATACAGGTTAGAGCAGAATGTCTCCTCCTATATTGGTAGGAATAGGAAATTTGCTAAGCTGTTCCAGGCAAGAATCCCAGGATCAGAAGCCCTAAATCAGGGGTAGGCAACCCAAAACACTCAAAGAGCCTTCGGTGGACCCATTTCCCACCGAAAACAAAACACTGGGAGCCGCAAAACCCTTTTGATATCTAAAATGAAGATAACACTGCATATATCCTTTTTTACCTTCATTATATGTATGTATGTGTGTGTGTGTGTGTGTGTGTATTCAAAATTTGGATTGCTAACAAAGAATTAAGGGAGAACTGGAATAGAGATTCGAACCTGGGCTGTCTGCATGTTAGGCAGATGTATTAACCTCTAGGCCACAGGTTCTTTCTCACTTTGTCAGCTATGAGACAGGGGAGAAGAATTATCTTGAGTTTGGTGCACCCTGTCGGCCCAAATATGGGAGAAAGGAATCTTTTGCCTGTATCAGCTCAAACTAGAGCCATCCGCAGGCTTAGCAGTCGCAACTGCGACATTATATGTGTTTTTCAAGATTTGGATTGCTAACAAAGAATTAAGGGAGAACTGGAATAGCCATTTCGAACTTTTTAGTTCTCCCTTAATTCTTTGTTAGCAATCCAAATTTTGAAAAACACATATAATGTCGCAGTTGCGACTGCTAAGCCTGCGGATGGCTCTAGTTTGAGCTGATACAGGCAAAAGATTCCTTTCTCCCATATTTGGGCCGACAGGGTGCACCAAACTCAAGATAATATATATATATATTTATATAATATAAAGGTAAAAAAGGGTATATGCAGTGTTATCTTCATTTTATATGTCAAAAGGGTCTCTCTCTCTGTCCCTCCCTCCCTCTCTCTCTCCCTCTCTTTCTCTCTTTCTCTCCCTCTCTCCCCCCCTCTCTCTCCCTCTCTCTGATCTTCTGCTCACCTGGCAAGCTGGCTTCAAGCTGTTCTCCAACAAGCTCAGGGGTAGGCAACCTCGGCTCTTTTATGACTCATGGACTTCAACTCCCAGAATTCCTGAGCCAGCATAGCTGGGCTAGCTAGCTCTCTCCTGCCCTTCCTGCTTCCTGCAGAGACGCAGCCAAGGCAGGAGCTTTTCAGCTCGTCGGAGAACACCGTGAGTCCACTCTTTTTTTACACACACACACAGAGAGAGAGAGAGAGAGAGAGAGAGAGAAGGGAAGCACAAGTGCCTCTCTCTGTCTCTGTCTCTCTCTGCAAATGGCGGAGGAGGCTGGGAGCCGCAGGGGAAGGCTCAAAGAGCTGCATGCAGCTCCGGAGCAGCAGGTTGCCGACCTATGCCCTAAATGGTCCAGGTCTAGCAACCCTGACAAACTCCCTTATAGGTAATTTGTCCCTGCAAAGAGTACTGTCAGGTTCTACTCAGAGATGATTTTTCTGGTCATAAGCTTCACTTCAGTCTTCCCACTGAAATGC